ATTTTCGAGATAGTGGGGCCGATTTGGAAGGACCGACAACCATGCCGGGGGCATGGCACTCGAAACAATGACGCCACCGCTGCAGCGAGGGCACGGTTCGGCACGAGCGGGAGCGCGGAAATGAGGCCAACGCTGCAGCGGGAGCACGATTCGGAACGAGCTGAAGCCCGAAAATGAGGCCAGCGCTTCAGCGAGAGCAGCATTTTTCTGGAAGCGCGGAAATGAGGACGCGTGGCCTGACATAGCATGGCGTGGCGGCGCCCCAGGTGGGCTTCTGCGGCCCACAAAGTCAACCAATCGACACCGAATGTGTAATCACTTCCGATGGTTTATCGGGGATCCATTTTCTAGATTTGGGGGCCTATTTGGAAGGACCGAAAACCACGCCGTGGCATAGCGCTGGAAATAATGACGCCAACGCTGCAGCGGGAGCACGATTCGGAACGAGCGGAAGCGCGGAAATGAGAACGCGTAGCCTGACATAGCATGGCGTGGCGACGCCACAAAGTGGGGGGGGGAGAATGTGTAACCGAATGTTACCACTTCCGATGGATAAAACGGCCCAAAAAATTAACGAATCGACACCGAATGTGTAACCACTTCCGATGGATTCTTCGGGAGGCCATTTTGTAGATTTTGGGGCCTATTTGGAAGAACCGAAAACCATGCTGGGGCACGACGCTGGAAATTCGCCGGCCCAACGGGCCAGAGGCGTGCTAAGATCTCCGGTAACTGGTAAACAGTATTTCTGATTCGCGCGCGCGGGGCGGCCCCTGGGGGTCCCTGGATCAAAAGTACCCCGAGAGGAGCCCGGGACACGCCCGAGACACGCCCAGGACACTCTCCCAGATCCTCCAGGATCGCCCCAAGAGGACCCCAAGAGGCCCCCAACACAATCCAAGAGAGGTCCGAGACGCCCGAAGATCGCTCCACGGCGCCCAAGATGGCCTCCAAACGGCCCAAGAGGTCTCCAAGATGACCCAACAAGCCTCCCAGATGCCCCAAGAGGCCTCCAGGAGCACTCTCAAGAGGGCCCCAAGAGGCAAAAAAACTGTGCTGTTCCTTTGGTTTTGGACAGATTTTGGCGTTTTAACCTTTTCGGTTCCCCGACGCCCCTAAACGGCTCAAGAGGCCTCCAAGATCGCCCCAAGAGGGCCCAAGAGGCCCTCAAAAGGGCCCCAAGACGGCCCAAGACGGCTCCAAGACGGCCCCAGAGGCCTCCAAGACGGCCCAAGAGGGCCCCAAGAACGCCCCCAACACGGTCCAAGAGAGGTCCGAGACGCCCGAATATCGCTCCACGACGCCCAAGATGGCCTCCGGACGGCCCAAGACGTCTCCAAGATGGCCCAAGAAGCCTCCAAGATGCCCCAAGAGGCCTCCAAGAGAACTCCCAAGAGGGCCCCAAGAGGCAAAAAACTGTGCTTTTCCTTTGGTTTTGGACAGATTTGGGCGTTTTAACCTTTTCGGTTCCCCGACGCCCCTAAACGGCTCAAGAGGCCTCCAAGATCGCCCCAAGAGGGCCCAAGAGGCCCCCAAAAGGGCCCCAAGACGGCCCAAGACGGCTCCAAGACGGCCCCAGAGGCCTCCAGGACGGCCCAAGAGGGCCCCAAGAACGCCCCCAACACGGTCCAAGAGAGGTCCGAGACGCCCGAATATCGCTCCACGACGCCCAAGATGGCCTCCAGACGGCCCAAGACGTCTCCAAGATGACCCAAGAAGCCTCCAAGATCCCCAGGAGGTCTCCAAGTGCATTCCCAAGAGGGCCCCAAGAGGCAAACAAACAATGCTTTTCCATAGGTTTTGGACAGATTTGGGCGTTTCAACCTTTTCGGTTCCCCGACGCCCCTAAACGGCTCAAGAGGCCTCCAAGATCGCCCCAAGAGGGCCCAAGAGGCCCCCAAGAGGGCTCCAAGATGGCCCAAGACGGCTCCAAGACGGCCCAAGAGGCCTCCAAGACGGCCCAAGAGGGCCCCAAGAACGCTTCAAGAACGCCCCAAGAGGGGGTTCACGAAACAGAATTTCGAGCTCTCGGCCCTTAGAGGCCCCCGGGAGGCCCCAAGACGCCCCCAAAGGCCCCAAGAGGCCCCAAGAGGCCCTCAAGAGGCCTCAAGAGGCCTCCAAAAGGCCCTCTGGAGGCCTCCAAAAAACCCTCAGGAGGCCCCCAGGACGCCTCCAAGACTCCAGCCAGACGCGACTTGGGAAACGCGGGTCGGGGTGGTCCTCCTCCCCCGCGTTCGGCCTCCAGCCTCGAGCCTCGACCCTCCACGACGACGACGACGCCGGCGGGCGGCGGCGGCGGGCGGCGGCGGCGGCGGCGACGACGACGACGACAAAGGCGCTCCTCATCGCTCCTCATCCCCCTCCTCCTTCCTCCTCCTCCTCCTCCTCCTTCCTCCTCCTCCTCCTCCTCCTCCTCCTCCTCCTCCTCCCCCGGTCCAATTAGAAAAGAGATGGTAAGAGAAACGCCACAAGAAAGTGTTCCTTCACGCCCGTGTCCGCAACGCCAGAGGACATCAGGACGATAACAGAGCCAATGTTAGCATTCAAAGCCCGCCACCCTCCGACACGAGGGTTCCCCTATCGCATAAGATGTCTCTTCCCCCGGCTCGAACGGCCCCACAGCGGGATACCACGGGTAACACGCCCCCACGATGGCACCAAAGCCGTCAAAAAACTGCAAACACCTAGCAGCCCCATATAAAGAACATTAACAAATTTCTCGACAACTACACAGCTCCCGACGCCGCAGCTCCACACTGCAAACGACCACTCGGACAGGCGACCACGATGGCCAGGGAATCCTGTGCAAAAAAAACAAGTACGCGGAGGGGGGCCAGACATTCCCCGGACGCCACCAGAGGAGAGAGGAGACTAGTATTCATGTTGTGAAACTGTTGAGGGAGGAGGGAGAAAGGAGGCAGGGAGGAGTGAGGAGTGAGGAGTGAGGAGGGAGGAGGGAGGGGGGAGTGAGGAAGGACGGAGGGAGGGGAGGGGAGGAATGTTCACGCCCATCTCCCCCCATCGAAAATTCAAGGTGCTCACAAAGCTTAGTGTTGGTGCTCTCGAGTGTACACTTGGCCCCGTTCGACTCGGACGGCCCCATGTTCCAGAGGAACCTGAATCGCCAGGCCCCATTTGAGCGGTCCGTTGTATCGGCATGGAGGTACGGAAGAAAAAAAAAAAACACTAGCAGTGGGGATGCGGAAAAAAACAAGTCAAGCGAGCGCGCTGCTTTCGCATCCGAATGTCCTGCGTGCGTTTTTCAACATCCCCACGTCTAGCGAGCGTGCGCTTTCGTCCGCATCCCCACGTATGCATTCAAGCGACACCCGTCGGTCGTAAAAAGTAAGTAAAAACATGAAGTAGGAAGGCGGATAGTAGATCGGGTTCAGGCCCACCCAGAGAATAACCAAACGCAGCGATGGCAGATTGACTCTTGAAGTCGGAAAGCGCTTCAAGTAGACTGGGATCTGGGAATCCAAAACATGATTACTTTCGACGACTGCCGTGTGCCCATGGAGAGGTCCGGACGCAGTGCCAAAACTCCACCCTCATCCAGTGACATCTGCATCCCCTCCCGTGCACAGGATCCTCTCCCCCGCGGGGCGGCTGCCCGGAACGACGCGTGGCCCGGAGTGCCACCATCGATGCTCAGGCCACGCAGGCTACCAATGTGACACGGAAGTGAAACAGCCTGATAAGATTCGCCGACGCGAGGCTCCCCGTCAATGGGACGTGGAAGCTGAATATCTTGATATCAGGTGTGCCGACGCGAGGGTCCGCCACCCGTGCCTCTGGGCACGGAGTGGGCGTGTCCCCGTGTCAGCTGCGCACTCCTCTGCGCCTCAATCCTCGCTCCCGAGGCAGGAGTTTGGGGGCCCAGACCCCGACCTGCCAACTCTCTCGGGGCTTCCCGCGTGCCTGGGCCCCAGGAAGTCGTGTCGCACCACTTTCTCGGGCCCAACAGGGCCCCAAGATAGGCCCATCAGGGCCCCAAGAGGCTCCCCAGACGGCCCAAGAGGGCCCAAGAGAGACCCGGGTCGCCGAAGGATCGCTCCAAGACGCCTAAGAGGGCGTCAAGATGGCCCCAAGAAGCCTCCAAGACGCTCCAAGAGGCCTCCAAGAGGTCTCCCAACAGAGCCCCAAGAGGCAAAAAACAGTGATTTCCCTCAGGTCTTTGACGGATTGTGGCGTTCTCGCCTTTTCGGCTTCCCGACGTTCCGAGACGGCCCCAGGACTCCAATACCACCGCAAGAAGGCCAAAGGGACCTCCAAGAGGGCCCCAAGACGGCCTCAGAGCGCCCCAAGACGGCCCAAGAGGCACCGAAGACGGCCCAAGAGGGCCCCAAGACGGCTCCAAAAAAGGCCCAAGAGAGGAAGCTCCAAGGAGGCCCCAAGAGTGCTCCAAATGGCTCCCAGGAGGCCTCCTCCTCCCTCCTCCTCCTGCTCCTCCTCCTCCTCCTCCTCCTCCTCCTCTTCCTCCTCCTCCTCCTCCTCCTACTCCTCCTCCTGCTCCTGCTTCTGCTCCTCCTCCTCCTCCTCCTCCTCCTCCTCCTCCTCCTCCTCCTCCTCCTCCTCCTCCTTTTTTGTCATCCCTCTCCTCATCCTCCTCTTCCTTCCCCCGCGTGTTCCCGAAAGGTTTCCACAACGGCTGGGGGAACGAATGGTCCAGTAGCGTGCCCAAGCTTTGTCCAAACGTTTGGCCACATAGGCGTATCCCAAAAAAGGCAGGGGGCGGCGGTGATTCGCCGTAGGCGACATCGATCATGTATATCATTCTACCCTGCGGAAGTTGCTAAAATTAACTAGGACGATGCCGCGTGTCCTCCGCATGCTGAGCAGAGACTAAGCCACCGCTCGGGGCTGTCGGCCCGAGCTCAGCCGAGCAGGAGCTCGGCTGGCGCGTGATGGTTGTTGTGCTGGAGCAAAGCCCTCTTTGAGCAAAGCTCTCCTTTGAACAAAGCCATCCTTTTCAGCAAAGCCCCCTGACGGCTGTCGCATCAGTGAGCAGCGCTGGCCTGGACCATCGAATCGCTGCGTCGCGCCACGGGGCGGAACGTCCAGTCGCGCTCGAACCTGTAGGCAAGCGGGTCGCTCCGGCGGCCCTCGTGAGCCCGCCTGCCCATGCCTTCAGAGGAACAAGCAACTGCATAAGCATGCGCGTAATCCGCGCGGAGCTCCGACAGCTTCCTCCTCCTCCTCCTCCTCCTCCTCCTCCTCCTCTCCTCCTCCTCCTCCTCCTCCTCCTCCCCCTCCCCCTCTCCTCCTCCTCCTCCTCCTCCTCCTCCTCCTCCTCCTCCGACTTATGATTGTGCCGTTTTGGAGGCGGCCGGAGACCTCAACTGGCTGGGACCCCACAGACGGGGTCAAGAGGGGGGGGGACGAGGCCATCCCCGCTAGGCATCGGCCCTGGGACCTCCCGGGGTCCATGGGGCAGCTGCTCACCCGGATCCGTCTCTCACGGTCCCGGGGGGGCTCGAGAACGGCCCCCCCGGGCCCGAGAGAGAGGCAACAACAAAAAAAACGCCGAGCCCAGCACCTCGAGCGTGCCCGCCCTTCCCGCCTGCCGGAGCCAGTCCTGGGCCCTGGGCCACCCCAGACCCGCAGACGGCTCCAGACGCCGTCGCTCCCCAGCCCCCGACGTCCTGACACTTCAGAACGTCGACCCTGGAGGTCTCGACTTATGTCGCTCCCAGCGTGCTCGAGGACCACGTCCCAGAAATAGGTTCGATCACCCAGAAGAGCATCGAAACGGTGTCGGACGAGTACCGTCTCCAGGGCTGCCAGGGCCCGACACGTGAAAACCCTCAAGTTTCGGTGCTCTCCTGGTGCTCGAAATTCTTTCTGGCGATGAAGGCGAAAGCAGGTTGGAACATTATCAGTCTCGACCCATTTCCGGGGACTGTGGTTTCATCCCGAGTCGCGTTCTTGACGGTCCCGAGGCCCGGTCAGGGCCCCTGCCAGTATGCTTAAGTCGGGCGTGTCCCCCTCCAGGCGGAGCTTGAACGAAAAAAATCAATTGTCAAAAAAATACTCCAGCAATGCTCAAAAAAGTGATCAAATCGTCCCTCTACTACTTTTCGACTATTCTTGAATACTCCCCCTGTAGAGGGACAGGCCCGACTTAAGCCGGGGAGGCGTAAGACTCGGGCACAGGGGGCTCGGGTTGGCCTGACGGGGCCATCGTAAAAATGACGAGACCCGATCTGAAATTTGACGCGATCTCCCGCTGCAGACATCCGACGAAAACTGGACCGTCAAAATCCCCGCCGCGCTCGTCAAAAAAAATCGGCAAACCAGAGTTCCGGCTTACTCGAGTCTTACGTTTCCCCGATTAACAATACGCATGTAGAGCCGCGTCTCTGCGACGCGTCGGCTGCGGTGCCGGCGCGGCGGCCAGGACGGCGCCTGCCCGGGCCGCGGCTCGAAGACGCAAGGCTGCGGCGCTGTCAGGGCCCCCGGTGGCCGAAGATGGCGAAAAACCTACATGAAGGGGCCCTGGGACACACAAATAAATACACACGAATGAAAAGATTCCCCATATTTTCCTATATTTTCTGGGTTTCTGTCTCCCCCCCCCACTTCCCATATTTTCCTATATTTTCCTGGGGATCGACGATTAATTGTGTCTGTGTGTTTCTTTCCCTCCTGACTACAGTCGGGGTGGATTGGAGAGGACACGCGAGAGGACACACGACCCTGCCGATGGCCACAACTGCCAGTGGAACGTAGAGGGCATGGGTCGCCAAAACGCAGGGACACAAGGGCACCCTTGTCTGGGCAGCGGTCGCACTGAGAGTCAACCTCGCCTGTACCGTCGTGGCGGCCAGGTCCCCCAGAGGCCGAAAATAGCGCGAAAAGTCCCTCGCCGTGCCGAAACACAGCGGCAACACTCGCTCGTGCCTCGACGGGGGGCCCCGGCTTGCTCCCCGCCGCGCCTTGCAGCAGCGAGCGCAGGTGCGCGTAGTCGGGCCGCTGCTCGAAGCGGAGGCCCCTGCAGCAGGAGATGAACTCCTGGGGGATCCGAGAGGCACCGCTGCCGCCACAGTCGGGGCGCTGACCTAAGGAACCCTAAAGAAGGAACGAGGTCCCTTTTTTCCATAGGTTAAACTTCGATTTCCTGTCGAAAACCTAAGGAAAACCTGAGGCAGGCTGCCCAACACTTAGGGAACGCGGAGCCCCTCCCCGACCAAAAGGGTTCCTTCTTCAGGGCCCCGACTCTACTCCCCGGACCTCTCCTGGGGTGCGTTCCGACCCAGATTTCGAGGCGAAGCCAGCGGTGGCGGCGAGGGAGGCCCAGGAGGCCCCTCCAGGGGAAAACACCGAGCGAGGGGGCAGGGGCAGGGGTATACCTCTTCCTCCTCCGATCTCCGCCAGCTGCGGGGGGCAGCCCTCGCAGAGCTCCTCGACCGACGCGCGCAGCTTGCTCCGGAGGATGCCCGCGTGCACGCCCGCGCCGGACGGCGCGGCGGCCTCGAGGGCCCACGGGGCCCGGCGCGCGCAGGCTCTCTCCCTGGGGCTCCGGGCCGCGGGCTCGGGGCGCGGGGCTCGGGGGGTCCCGGGCGCAGGGCGCGGGCGTCGCACAGCGCGCCTTGGGGCCAAGGGGCCGAAGGGTCAGGGCCGAAGGGGTCGGGGCCGAAGGGTCAGGGCTGGAAGGGTTCGGGGCGCAGGGCTTCCGGGTGAGGGGCTCGGGCCTCGCACGGCGCGTCGATGCGGGCTGCGGGCCTCGCCGCGGGGTGAACTTGGGCCCCGCCAGCCGGCTTCGCCACGATCCCGCGGGAAAGACGTTGGCTTCGCTCGCGCAGACCCTGAGTACGTCATACCTTCCGTGCTGGAGGGTTTAGGGCTTAAGGCTCAGGGCTTAGGGTTTAGGGTTTGGGGTAAGGGTTTAGGGTTTGGGGTTTGGGGCGCGTTTGGCCGATCTCTATCCCCACGTGCGTGGCCTGGGCCCCACTGGCCGATTAGCCCCCACTGGATGGGGATAAAAGCGGTTCCCTTCGCGCTTCGAGGGGCATACCCACAACTGGAGCGGTGGGATGGTGGGGGTCGGGATGGGGATGGGGATGGGGATGGGGATGGGGATATGTTAAACGATGCAGAGGCCTGTCTCCAAGACTGACTACCTACCAGACCACCCCAACCCAACCCGAAGACCCGAATTTGACCCGAATTTCGGGTTGGGGGGGTACGGATACCATGTGTTTTTTCAACGTTCCCCGACCCCCCCCCCACTGGAAATCGAGGATAAATTTGGGCCTTCGGGTTGGGTTGGGGTGGTTTGGTGGGTGGTGAAAGACCGCAGCACGCACGGCACCGACAGGCCCCAGCAGCCCTCAAACAGGCTCCCAGGAAGAGCAAGAGAAGGGAGCTTCGGCGAAGCCCCGAAGAGACCGCCCAGAGAGAGCTCCGCCACCGTGCAGAGAGGTGCTGAGTGGTGAAGTGTTCCCGGGGCCCTTCGCATGATCTGCATTCCCCAAGAAGCGCTCGCACCTAAGAAATGCCACTTCACTTCTCAAGTGATTGGAGAGGTGGGCCGGGTTCCGCCGCGTGCCTGGTTGGTGCATGTTTGATGCATGCCCGCGGGCGGCTCCCGGCCGCTCCGTGCGCCCGTGCCCGGCAGTGAGAGCATCGTGTGCGCCACGCGCGCTGGGAGCACCACCTAACTCGCACCACATGGCCTGCATCACATGAATTACATCACACAAAAATCGAACAGCATAGCTTCCATCGCACAGCTTGCACCACATAAGACGCCACAACGAGCCGAACGCATCATGTGGCTTGCAGCGCACAGCCTGCACCAAAAACATTGCACAGCAGCTTACGTCGAACAGTTGGTTGAAGCACAGAGCTCACACCAAACATAGCTTGCCCCATACTGCTGGCTCCACATAGTTTGCACCGCATAGCGTACAACACATACAGTGATACACACACAGAGAGAACGCATAGCATAGCTGTCAACGCATATGTTGCAAGTCGAGGGTGCAAAATCCTACGATTCGGGGCCCACGCTGGCTGACCGTGAGTACCATACGTCCCCGAGACGTACCCCACCCCTTCTCCACGCGAGGCGAATCTTTGTAATGAGCGCTCCCTGCAAAAGAACACATCGCCAGAAGTGCACGATCCGCGCTGCCATCCTCCGCCGTGCCTCTAGAAGCCCGCGAAGGTGGCAACAGTTGCACAGCTCGCAGTCCCGCAGGCAGCTGCGAGGTCTCGGCTGGGTGAGTGTACTACCCCGATGTCGCTGGACCTCCCAGGAGCCCACGAAACTGACGACAATTGCTCAGTTCGCAGCTACCCAGGGAGCTCCGAGGTCTCGGCTAGGTGCGCGTGGCCCCCGACTCCGCTGGACCTCCCAGGAGCCCACGAAACTGACAATTGCGCAGTTCGCAGCCACCCAGGGAACTCCGAGGTCTCGGCTAGGTGCGCGTGGCCCCCGACTGCGCTGGACCTGCCAGGAGCCCACAAAACTGACGCCAATTGCGCAGTTCGCAGCCACCCAGGGAGCTCCGAGGTCTCGGCTAGGAGCGCGTGGCCCCCGCTTCCCAGGGAACAGCGAGGTCTCGGCTGGATCTGCGTTGCCGCCGACCCCGCTGGACCTCCCAGAAGCCCACGAAAGTGGCGACAATTGCGCAGTTCGCAGCCACCCAGGGAGCTCCGAGGTCTCGGCTGGATCTGCGTTGCCGCCGACCCCGGTGGACCTCCCAGAGGCCCACTAAAGTGGCGACAGATGCGCAGTTCGCCGTCCCTAAGGGAGCTGCGAAGTCTCGTCTGGGTGCGCGTGGTCCCCGACTCCGCTGGACCTCCCAGGAGCCCATGAAAGTGGCGGCGGTTGACCAGGCCGCAGCCACCCAGGGAGCAGCAAGGTCTCGGCTGGATCTGCGTGGCCGCCGACCCCGCTGGGCCTCCCAAGAGCCCACGAAAGTGGTGACACGTGCGCAGTTCGCAATCCCCCAGGGAGCTCCGAGGTCTCGGCCAGGTGCGCGTACTCCCCGACTCCGCTGGACCTCCCAGGAGCCCACGAAAGTAGCGACGTATGCTCAGTTCGCAGCTACCCCAAGGAGCTCCGAGGTCTCGGCTGGATCCGCGTACTCCCCCACACCGCTGGACACCCCAAAAGCCCGCGAAAATGGCGACGGTTGCGCATTTCGCAGTCTCCCAAGGAGCTCCGAGGTCTCGGCAAGGTGCGTGTACTCCCCCACTTCGCCGTGCCTCCCAGGAGCCCACGAAAGTGGCGAGAAGTGCGCAGTTCGCAGTCCCCCAGGGAGCTGCAAGGTCTCGGTTGGGTGCGTGTACTCCCCCACCCCGCCGTGCCTCCCAGGAGCCAATGAAAGCGGCGACAGATGCGCAGTTCGCGGCCACCCAGGGAGTTGCGAAGTCTCGGCTGGGTCCCCTACTCCGCCGTGCCCCCAAGGAGCCCACGAAAGTGGCGACGGTTGCGCAGTTAGCAGCTATCCAGGTAGCAGCGCAGGAGGAGTCAGGGAGGAGGGAGGCGGGAGACCCACAGTGGCCGATTCAAAACGAGAACCCAACGCAGGAGGGTTGGGAAATACAACATACTCTTTCCTACACCAGAGAACAGCCCACTTCAGCTTTTTTCCTGACGTTTTCGCAGGTACTCTAACCTCTCAGCTCGCACTGCACTCTAATGTATACTCTCGATTATCTCCGCTAAACTCTGTTCTACTCTCTACTCTAAGCTTCGGCTACACTTGAGAATGGCCCTCTAGAACTGCATCCCGCTATACGTTTTCGGCTACACGCATTCGACTACAATTAGTATTCGGCTTACGTTCTAGTGACATTACTATTCGGCTACGCTTAGTCGGCTCAACTGTACCATCTACCCTCTCTACGATCTACCCTCCTCCTCCTCCTCCTCCTCATCATCATCATCATCCTCCTCCTAGTCCTCCTAGTCCTCCTCATTCTCCTCCTAGTCCTCCTCATCCTCCTCCTCCTCATCCTCCATTCCTTTTCGATATAAATAACTTTTCCCTGCCGCGCCCCGAGGCCAGTTTTTAGAGTGGGCCGGGCGTTTCGCCTCAGACTTCCTCACCACTTATGACCCTGAAGCTTCAAATGGGCAACAGCTTCACAGATGGAGGGCGGGTCGTTCTCAAAATGTGGCCCTCGCCTTAGCGCCGCGCACATTCGTTTTCAACATTTGCAAGAATTTCGCGGACTGAGGGCGGTTCCTTTTCAAAATGTGGCTCCCGCCTTAGCGCCGCGCACGTCGTTTTAAACAGTTGCAAAAGCTTCACGGATTCCCATGATGGTGTGGTGTTTTGGAAGGAATCAAGATTACAAGGGCGCAACAGTTACGCTCATTCGCGGTATTGAAGTCCCAAGAATGGCTTCTGGCACGATTCAGAATCGTCAAAACGCAACAACAGTCAAGTTGATCCGTGGCATTGCAATCCCGAGAACAATGTTTTGGCATGCTTCCGGGTCTTCAAACGGTTGTCTTCCAACGAGGCAGTTCCCTCAATAGAAATGAACCGTTGTAGGGGCCTATAAAGAGGGAGCTTGGAGGGAGAGTTTTTACAACATTGTGAATGGCTCTTGGGTTTACACTGATCCTCCTCCTCCTCCTCCTCCTCCTCCTCCTCCTCCTCCTCCTCCTCCTCCTCCTCCACCTCCTAAGACTGACCCGAGGCAAGAGTTACCTTGGGTGCGCGCCTCTAGGGGGCCACGGGGGGCCGAATCTGGGCGGGCAAGCCACCTCAGGCCAGTGCTGGGATGACCCCTGCAGGCCCGCACCAAACGTCACTCTGGCGAAGGGTCACTCTTACAGTGAAGGCCCGACCACAAGAAACCTCCCACCAGAAACCCAACTCTGAGACCCCAGGACGTCCACTGATGTTTGGTGTGTGAAAAAATTGAAAAAATGAAGGTGGCCGAAAAATGTGGAAAACATCATGGCCCTGGCCACAAAATCCACACACACACACACACACACCAACCAGAAGCCTTTGAACCCAGCCGCCTACCGAAATCAGCCTGGTACTTCCGCCAAATCCTTCAACATCTGCTAAGACCTTTTCAGTGTAAGCACTGATTAAGGGTTCCAGATTTCAGGGCACTCTCGATGATTCCAGGGGCTTGCCGTACAGCTTTTCTCTAGGCTTCTGGAGCGTGGCTGTGGGTGTCAACTTCCCATGTGCTTTGAGATCGCCACAGGGGACTGTTTTGATTTCCTTGCGGGCCTCTTGGGCCGTCTCGGAGGCCCTGAAGGCCCGCCCAAGAGACCAAAATCATTGAACAAATTTATGTTATTATATACGCGACTTTCTTGTCAGAAGAGCGCCCAAGACGGCCCAAGAGGCCTTCAGATCACCAACAGATGGCCGCCAAGGCCCGCGGAACCCAAGAGGCCCTCAAGACGGCCCTACGAGGGGCCCACGAGAGGGACGACGTACTGACATCTGGAGCCTTCCACCCCAAGATGACCACCTTGACTGCCTTTCGGCTCCCAAAAAGCCCTCCAGAGGTCCCCAGAAGCCCACAAGCGGTCCCCAGGAGGC